GCGCTTGCGAATGCGCTCTTCGAGTGTCGAACGATTCTGTTTGACATGGACGCATTCGTTCGTGGGCGGCTTGGAGGAACTGCCATTCATCGGTGGTTGAGGCTGTTTGCCTCTCCTGTTCTTCAGATCCGCGTTGTAGCCGATTCCGTCGGTTGACTCCATCGCTTTTGCGAATTCTTGGGCCAAGCGTTGGCGTCGCCTTTGGCGAGCTCTCTTTGAGAGAGTCATCACTTCTTTGGTGACGGAGGGATTGACAGAAATAGGCCTGCCCTGGTTGGAAGTTGGAGGAATCTCACCCGATGCGACTTTGGCATCAAACGGGGCGAGATCTTCGTTGGTGTTTTCTACATCTTCACACCAACGAGCTTTTCTCCTAGAGGAGAACTTCTTGGACTTCTTGGACTTGTGAGGGGAGGTAGATCCGGACGAGGATGATAGATGCTCCTCGAACTTTTGTTGGTCGAACTCATACTCGACCTCCTCCTCGACCGGGATCGAGATCCGCGGCTGCGACGCAACGATCTCGGCAGCAAGATCGGTAGCTCCCACTGTGGTCGCCAGATTGTTTGCGGGAAAAATCGTGTCTTTCATTGATTCCATTGCACACTCTTGTAATAGTTTATCGATTACAAAGATCCGGTCTTTATATAAGATCCGGTTACAACGAAATCAAAAGAAAAATAAAAAGATTTACAACTTTCCTTTTATGTCGAACGAATCGCTAACTGTTTATCGATTACAAAAGATCCGGTCTTTTTATAAGATCCGGTTACTACAAAATCAAAGAAATAAAAATTACAACTTTCCTTTTATGTCGAACGAATCACGAGATCCTGTTTTGCGGTCTCTCGCTTTTGTGGGTTCTTCGCCTGCGCCGGGGTTAATCCATGGACCACCGCGCGATCTAGATCCGGTCGGATCTACACGGTATGATGGGTGTTATTTCACGAAGAAAATAACAGCCGGTGGGTACTATTTCACCAAGGAAATAATAGCCTTTAGTTCTCGGGATCAAAGGCCAAGCTTTGATCCGGAGGGAAACCGCGTAGATCTCAGATCTGATCTCTCTCGAACTCCTGCCTTATTTGGCGTGGATGATCGCTAAGGACCAGATCTGGAAGTGTCCAAGTCTTCAAAGCTTCAAACTCTCAAAGTTGAGATATCAATTCAGCAGAGTTTCGGCTCCAAAAGTTCCGAGACACCTTTGGGTGTCTCGGCTCGGGCTGAGACATTTTGTTTTGCACACTTGTCCATTTTCGCCATAACTTTTTCATCCGAACTCAGATTTAAGCGATTCAAAGTGCGTTGGAAAGACGATGAGGAGTTCTATAAGCTCCAATGATTAGATCATCTGTGGAATAAATGAGACACGAAGGGTATTTCGTCTTTTGTAAGTGACACGGGGCTCCCGATCCGTTCGTATCCTCATTATTCTGAAACTCCATTGCTTCACATAGTTCGTCAACCCACTTCATGTGTTTGTCGACATTAATCAAGCTCCTGTGACTTAGATTATGACGTTCATCGTCTTTTCTTAGCACTGAGCCGTTCGTAGGGACCTATAGGCAGTTTTATACGCCTACATTAGTTATTTGTCAAATATAGGTAGGGCACTCAGGGAGAAAAGTTCGAAGTTCAGGGGGGGTTTGTAGCCACCACAAAGTTTAGGGGGTTATGTGAGATAAAAAAAAGTTCAGGGGATTATGTGCAAGTCCCCCAAAATTCACGTGAGTTTTCAAGAACTAACCCTAGTAGTAATTATAGTTAGCTTATGCCTTTTTCTCAGTGACTTCAGCTTTTTGGTGGATTCTACCAGTAATATTTCTTGTCTTTTTCTGAAGTAATATCAATATTGACACACCTTTCATCTACAGATGTGGTCGTTAAATGATAATGGAACCCTTGTAAACAGCTATTCTGGTCTATGTGCAATAGTTGAACCAATGAAAGGTGCTATGCTTGTTTATTTACATCAATATGTACATTCACATGACACGTGTGCATATAAGTACTAACGTAACAACCTTATGATGCAGAAAATGTAAATAGTGACGGAGTTCGTTCATGGATTGCAACTGGAAGAAGAGGTTAGTGATTCTTTCTTAGCACTCTTGGATTGTTTAAAGTTTGATCTAAATAATCATATAAGAACTCTCTATGAGTTACGACCATCTAGATCATTCGATTGATATAATCAGGGGCATACAGACAGCTGTCCATTTTAATACACATTTCTAGATGATTGTAGTTGTTTTTTTATTTAAGCTCCGACATCTATGTTTATTAAATAACTAGCCAGGAAACTTTTACATATGTGATTATTTATTTAGTTTTTTCTTTCTTTCATTTTTTTGAGGGGTTCTCAAGAAGTATAGATGTTCGCAGTCCAAGAAACATTTCAAATTTACAACCATGAACAAAAGAAAATTGTTAAATTCAAAGTTAGGATTAGATATCTCCTTTCTTAAATAATGAAATAATGATTTGATGACAGATTGTTCCAACTCTTGATATTATAGATTGTTAATTGCTAGTTTCAAGAGTATGATGATAAATCTTTATGGATGAAAATGCAGTTGTGTGGATGAAGTTCTTACATTAGATGGAGAGAGAATCAATACCACTTTATCATGATAGTTACAGTGGGCTTTGTGTGCTTTGTCAAACTACATGCACTAAGAGAACCTAATTATAGAGTTCAATATGAGTGCTCGAGACACTTAACATCCAATGGTAGACTTAGGTTTATGATCTGTACTTGTTATGCTTCATTCAGATGCATCAAGTGTGACATCAAACAATATTTTAACACCTGACCTGGATTCCTCACTGGTATCTACTGGATTTTCTGATGGATTACATAGAATACAAACTCTTACATGTAATATTTAAACTTTGCAATGCATGTAAATTTCAAATGATTCACAGCCTTGATTATAAACCTCTTTATAACTTCCAAACAAACCCTTTCTACCTTATATGTGAATACTTTTAAAACAGGAGTTTAAACCTTGAATCTGTAACTTGATGGATTGAATGAAAAGAATGTAATGAATACATCATGCAAACAGATCTCGATTGTTTCTTAAACATTTATTGTGCATGACCTTTTGAATTGTCCATCAAAACAAATACCTCCTTAAACAAAAGTATACATGGAGCAATTTCTCTTGGAACTGACGTGACATGGACGTCCACAATTGAGTATCCTCCTAGTCTTTGAGTCGAACTGACTCATTTGTTACCATTAGGTTAAAATCTTTCTCATTCGTAACAACTCCAACAGCCAAAACTAGTATCTTAATCATCTAATTTTTTGTTTTCTCAGACAATTAAGCTTGATATGACCTCTTTCTTTCAAAGTAATTGTACAGTAAACTCCTAAATGTAGGTTACTGCAAGGAAAATTCTTCTCTCTAACTGTTCTTAATTGTCTTGCCATTTTTCTCAAAGAATCCTTTGTTGATAAATGCATGATACTCTAAGCTTACTCTAAAAGCTTATGAATGCATCTTTCCATTTCTAATAGATCCTGAAATGTCTCTACAAAATCTTTTACCTATCCAATGTTCTAAAAAGCTCCTGCCTAGGCTCCCACATGGGCCTAGGCAATACCTAGGTCGTCAGCCTAGGTCTGGGAGCGCTTAGGGGAGCAGAGACCGCTTACGCGGACTCCACCACTTTGGTCTTGGTCGTGATTTTCTTCGTTGTTTCCTCCACGTCCGCTAACCTTTTTCGAACTCTTGCGACCCCCTCTTCAACTACAAACACCTTCTCCAACTCTTTTGACCTTCAATAAAACCTTCTCGACCACCACTTAAATAAAAAAGAAATCCTCTTAGGCCTAATGCCTAGCCAGTTTTTCACCTAGAGGTGCCTAGCGCTATTGATAATATTGATTGTAATTAAAATGTTGAAAAAAAGAAAACGCATAGTAGACTCCTCCTATGCCCCAGCCTAGGCTAGGTGTTGGGTCTGACGCTTAGGCCACCTAGCGCTTTTTGTAACCTTTTATGTATCTCCAAACTGTGGATCTTTAACTTGAATTTAGGTGCTCATGACTTGAACGGAAAATTGCCTTTTACGATCAATACTTGCTGGAAATGGTCAATCAACCAATCTACCAAGCAATACCTTTGGGTCAGACAATTAGTTATCCATCATCTACCCAATTTAAAGGAGCAGTTATCAGTAAGTATTCTTGTCATCAAATATTTAACCATTTTAAATAATTAAACAAGGAATTGACAGCCGCAAAGTTAGAATTGCCACCTCTAGAACCTACTCAGGAACCCTGCATGCTTTAAAAATTACTGGGAAGAGGAAGTTTAGAATTCAAAAGTGAATTGGAAGATATAAAATATTGTTCTAACTGTTCATCAAATAATATTAAGCACTGTCGGATGGAATTGATTAACTTTAGATGGTGTAGGTGAAGCCATCTAAAATCTGGATTTACTTGAAAGTGTAACCTTAATGCATATTTCATACATCCTTTCTCATGAAGCTCTTCTTTTGAAATTTCTCAATTTCTCCTATAATTTTGATAGTGATATTTATTATGTTTGGAGCTTGCTTGGCCATCCAGTCTAGTTTTTCAAATACATACGCATCACTCTTCATATTAAAAAAAAGTCCTAGATCTTAGTGAATTATAAATATTTCCCCCTCTCTGTACATTCCATTTAATTTTAGATTATATAAGAGATTCTTTTTATAACAAATGAAAGATTTAGGAAGTAATGATGCAATGGCATTAGCTTGAAAAAAAGCCATAATAAACAATGACTTAAGTATTTGGTTTAGAAGGTTTAATTTAGTGACAAGTAACTCCTTTTATAAGTGGGTGGGTTTATGAATAAATGGATGTAAAAGTTTGAGTTTATATTAAAAAATCCATCTGCAGTTTGTGATGACGCAACGTTATTGTAAACAAGCCAACAAAATAATAAGTTAAATATTATTTAAACAAATACACCATATGCCTAAACACTTTGAACAAATATATAGCATGTTATAATATAAAAGTGATAAAATTTTGACATGAGAGCAGGCTTGAGTTCCTTCTTAAAGGTATTGTATTTATATATATCAATTGAGTTTGAATTACAAATCTAATCAAAATGGATGAAACAAACTTGATTCGTGGTTAACTAAAAATCAATTGCAGTTACTGCAATCTTGGGAAATCATCAAGTTGCTATGGATAGTTGCAACCAAGTGAAACTCCTTTCTGTTAAGGAGTCTGTTCTGGTATGCCCCTGCAAACTCAACACCGGGGAACTGTCGGTGAGTTTGGATCTGAGATTAAGAAACTATCTGACCGGAAGTCCTTTTGTTAACATGTCTGCAATTTGTGCAGTTGAAGAGATGAACCCAGAGATCACTTCTTTCTACGTTCTCACAAATGAAATGAAAATCATTGTTGATGTACTTCCATTTCTTGTGGGACACCAGATTAGTGGTCATGTAGGTCGTCGATAAATTGTCACAACAAACAGTGGGGACATCTGGTAGAGGGTCGTGTAGCTCCCGAAGTATATGTTGAACCTCAAATAGCCTCGTGGTGGACATTGTTAGAGCTTGGTATTCGACCTTTGTGCTGGAGCGAGCAACAAGTTTTTGTTTCCTTGAGGACCACAAGATCAGATGTTGCCAAAATAAATGCAAAAGTCATGTAAATCTTCGATCAATAGGGTCACGTACCCAATCCGCATTATAGTAAATGACAAGGGATGGCGTGTGGATGGTGATAACGTGAGATTGAGCTTGAGATTTCCCTTTAGATACTGTAGTTTTCTTTTGCGGCTTGCTAATGTAGTTGAGTAGATCAGTGTAAACATTGACAAACCTTGTTAACTGTAAAGAAAATTTTTAGGGACAACCCCAACTACACTGGTACATTGTAGGATCGGACATGAGGTGGTCATCATTTGTGAGATAGAGAATTGATGGTTGAAGATGTGGCAATAGGTTTGCATCTAACAATATCGGTGAGGTCTAATAAATCTTAATATACCTCTCTTGAGATAGGAATAGACCACTTTCTGTGTGCGTGACATGTATACCAAGGAACAATGATAAAGCACCCAAATCCTTGAGGGAAAAGTTGTATCCAAAATAGGAACAAATGCTGCAAAAATTTATGGCCACTTCTTGTTAATTTTATGCCATCAAATTAAATCAATATGTATGTAATTGAAGGACCAATATGGACAAGCAACGATGAGTCAGAGTGACAAGCCTTAAGTTTATGTTGCGATAAGAAATCCCAAAGTTTGTAAAATCATGCAGTGGAGCCTATTAGAGATTGATTCGCAAGAGCCATATATGAGAGGATTAGCCGGATTTTGAGAATCATATGGCTACTTCTTATAGATTTGCTCGGTTAAATATCCATTTAAAAAGATATTATTAACGTCAAGTTGCCGAATCTTCCAACCACAAGAAACTACAATGGATAGAGCCATGCGAATTAAGCTCGGTTTAACCATCGGGCTAAACGTGTCAAAATAGTCTACACCCTCCTCCTGATGCAATCCTTTAGTAATTAAACGTGCTTTTAAAACGTTCCAACTCCTCTATTGATGCCCCTCTTGATCCGGTGCCTATTTGTATCTGACCACGTTGGCACCGGGTGGACAAGGAATAGTGTATAGGTTTGATTTATTGTGAAGGGCATCGAGCTCAAGTTGCATGGCATCGCACTACCCATGGAGCCCACATGCTTAAATATATGAGGTGGTGATGGGACATCCAAACGCGTGCACGGAATTTTCACCGTGTTTATCAGCGCAGGAGACGCCACGTTTCACCGTTGTATCAGATCCCTGCTATGTGGTTTTGAATTTTGGTAGTTAATCAGTTTTAGTAATAACTGATTGATTATGAGAGACTTGAGTGATTTAGGGAATCTTGTATTTTCTATTCTATTTAAACACAATTATAATCATAATTATTATTGAAGATTGAATAAAAATTATTTGTGTTAGCCTAATTAATTGCTGTGAAACCCTAGGCTAATACTCGTTGTTTTCTTCGTTTCTTCCAGCCGCCAAACTTCTTCTCTCCTCCACGTAAAACAACT